AAAAAAAAAAAAAAGGTGTAGCCAGGAAACAGCATAGACAACATGTTTTGTGACTATCTCATATGTTTATGCTACAATTTTTTGTTGTCTTTTTTTGTTTATTTGTTTTTTGAGACAGGATCTTGCTATATAGTCCAGGCTGGCCTTAAGCATACTATGTAGCCCAAGTTGGCCTCAAACTCATGGAAATCCTCCAGCCTCAGCCTCCCGAGTGCTCAGATTATAGGCATGTGCCACTATGCCTGGATGTTTATGCAGCCAGTGTTGGGGGACATTTGCCCAATGGATAGCTGCTGTTTCCAAGTGGTGGGATTGGCTGCAGGTGATTCTTACTTTTCTTCTTATCCTTTCTGTGTTATGTAAACTAACAGAGGGTACTGTAGTACTTAGAAAAGTTATAATAAAGCTGATTTCATTTGTGAGAGGGTTAGCTTGTTCTGTTTCCTCATACCCCTCCCTCACCCTGGGTTCTGAATCCCGTAGAGAATTCTCCAAGGTTCTGTCCTGGTCTGAGTGTATTTTGAGGTAGTAGGAGGTCACATTATTCATTAACCAGCCAGTGAGTTAAAAGGACTTTTGACCCTTACAACTCTGGCTAAATTAATGAAAATTGGTTTCAAAATCTGGAGCCTTCCCTTTGGATCACTGAGGATCTCTGGACTTGAGGCAGCTGGAAAGGGCCTTCTCTCACCTGGCTTTCTGAGTGAACCCAATAGTCCTGGGGGCCTGGAGCACATCTTTGCCTCTCTTTGAGTCTCAGTCTCCCTAACTGTAGCTTTTTTTTTTTTTTTTTTCTGAGACAGGGTCTCCCTATGTAGTTCAGGCTGGCCTTGAACTCACTATGTAGCCCAGGCTGGCCTCAAACTCAGAGTGGTCCTCCCACTTCAACTTCCCAAGTGCTGGGGTCACAGGCATGAACCACCATGCCCAGCTTCCTTATTTGTAAACTGATGAATTCTTTTTCTTTTTTTAATTCATACTTCCTGATTAAAGGTAACACGTCTCACATCCTTCCTGAAGGGTATTTTTTCCTTATCCCAAAGCCCAAGAACAGCTGGGTGTGGTGGTGCATGCCTGTAAACTCAGCACTTGGGAGGCTGAGGCAGGAGGATCATTGTGAGTTCAAAACCAGCCTGGGCTACAAAGTGAGCTCAAGGCCAGCCTGCCCTGCATAGCAAGACTCTGTCTCAAAAAGACAAAAACAAAACAAAACAAAACCAAAGCCCAAGAAGATTCTGCGGAATTTTACTTTCTGCAGTTTTGTTTTGTTTTTGTTTTTGGAGACTGTATCTTGCCATCTGGCCTAGTCCGGCCTCAAATTTGTGATCTTCCTGCCTCAGCCTTCCAAATAGCTAGAATTATAGACATGTAGCTTGGATCATAAAAACAATAGGTATTGCTGGGTATGGAAGTGCACATCTGTAATTCTAGTACTTAGGCAGGAGGATTGTAGTGGGTTCAAGACCAGCTGGGACTATTAGTGAGTTCAAGGCCAGCCTGAACTACATAGTGAGACCCTGCCTCAAAAAACAAATAAATCAAACAATGTTTCTCCTAATCTCATTTTCCTGAATTAAATAATAATACTGAATATGTACACAGCACAGAGCTCCCTGATGTGATAGCTCCCCTCCAGCCTGGGTGCCTAAGGTCTTTCTCTGACCCTCAGTTAAGCTCTTTAGTGTGGTAGCTGAATGCCCCAGCCCTAACTCAGACAGACAGCGAGGACCAGCAGATACAGTGCAGGTTATCTTGTCTCAGAATTGATTTGTGAGATCTGGCAATCTCAACTTGGGTTCCAAACTGGCCTTCCATATGCAATGTGGGTGAGTAAGTTCTTTCCTTCTTCCTTCCTCCTTCCTCCTCGTGCTCTTCTCCCCTCCCTCTTTCCCTCCCTTCCTTTGTTCTTTCCCTTCCTCCCTCTTTTCCTCCTCCTCCTCTTTCCTTCTTCCTTCCTTCCTTCCTTCCTTTTTTTCTTTCTCTTTTTTTTTTTTTGGTACTGGGAATCGAACTCAGGACCTCAAGCTTGCCAAACAGGTGCTTATGCTTCTGAGCTATATCCCAGGCCCTTCTCTCTCTTTCTTAATCTTTCTTCTTTCTCTCTCTCTTTCCTTTCTTTTTCTTCTCTTCTTTTCTCCCTTTCTTTTACTTCCTTCCTTCCTTTCTCTCTTCTTCCTCTCTTTCTCTTTTTCTGGGTCAAGTACCTAATCTTACCTCTGAACATGCAGCTTAAGGAATCTTCACACATCCAGACACGCCCGTGACCACTGCTCACACTGAGGGCATCGCTCGGCATCCCAGAGCATTCTCTTCCGCCTCTCCCCACATGCCTGCTCCCTCGCAGGTGGCCACTCTTCCTACGTCCTGTGACTCTGTCACTTGATTTTTTTCTGTTCTTGAATTCCATAAAAATGGGACCATTCAGCCTGGGTTCTTATGGGTCTGGTTTCTCTTTTCCACATTAGACTGAGATTCATTCAGATTGTTGTATGTGGCTTTATTTCTCCTTTTCCTTACTGTATAATGTTCCAGTATATGACTGTTTGAAAATACCACAATTAAAAAAAAGAGAGAGAGAACACCACAATTTCTCCATTGCAGCTCATAGACTGTCTTATTTCCAGTTTGGGACTAGATTTGTGTGTGTGTGTGTGTGTGTGTGTATGTGTGTGTGTGTGTTTGTGATACTGGGGGCTTCTCCTTGCTAGGCAAGCTGAACTATTTCCCTATCCCTTCTATATTGTTTTGAGACAAGTTCTCACTAAATTCCCAGGCCAACCTTGAACTTGCCATCTTCCCACCTCAGCCTCTGGATTCCTGGGCCACCACAGCCAGCCGCTAGGATCAGTCTTATACCACCCTTTGGACTGATGTGTCTCTGGCTTGCTTGGGTGGGGAGACTGGGCCTTAGGATAGGATTCTGCTTGGTTTTACTGGGTACTGAGAACACAGCTTTGGATTTCAGCTGTGAAGTGGGAATGACAATGACAGCACCTACTGTTTTGATATCAATCCAGGTAAAATAGGTAGATGTGGTACCTCAAGATTCACAAAATACAAATCATTACAAGGAAGGGAGTGGAGGAACATTAAAATATGGCTAATTTTTCTGAACTTTTTCATGCTCCACGATGAATTATCAGCACAAGGAACCTGATTAGGATTGCATGATATAAAGATGATACATGACTAGTGTAAAAAAAAATAATCCAGGGCCAGTGATATAGCTCAGCAGCACAAGGGCCTGCCTGGCAAGTGCAAGGTCCTGAGTTCGATTCCTGGCACCAAATAAATAAATAAATAAATAAAAATCCAGTGAAATAGAATAGAGAGTAAAAGGTGAGATTCAACTCAACCCCTCCATTATTTATTTATTTATTTATGTATTTATTTATTTATTGGTACCAGGAATCAAACTCATGACCTCACACTTGCCAGGACAGGCACTTATGCCACTGAGCTATATCCCTGGCTCCATTTTTTATTGTTAAAGGAAAATATACCAGATATGGTGGTGCATGCCTGTAATCTCAGCTACTTGGGAGGCTGAGGCAGAAGGATCATAAGTTTAAGGCCAGCCTGGGTAATTTAGCAAGGCTCTGTTTCAAAATACAAAATTAATTAATTAAAAGTTTAAAAATAACTGGTCTGGGGGTATAGGTCAGTGGTAGAGGACTTGTGTAGTGTGGCTGGAGGACTGAGTTCAACTTTTAGTATCACAGAAGAAAGGAAAGGAAAGGAAAAGAGGACAGGAGAGGAAGAATGAACGCAAGCACAGTGGGGAGGGAAAAGAAATACTAAGCACTAAGAATCTTCATGAATTTTCTTACTTCTTTGCCCTTCTGTGGGTTGACCCTGCTATGTAGGGTGATGGAGGCTGGGCCACCAAAACTGACTTGAAGGATGCCTCCCCTGGAGCTTTTGTACCACTCTCTGGGCCTCAGTCTCCCCATCTGTGCAGAAAGATGCCTGATGAGCTTTGGCCTCCACCAGTCGCCACTCCAGGTCTGACTTTGGCAGAGGAAGGGTCTGGAGCGCTGCCGCTTGCGTCTCTGGGATACGGGAGCAAAGAGCCACGCATTCTCACAGCCCCAACAGGCGTCCTCTCAAGTCCCTCTACTGTCTAGTGTCCCAGAATGGCAGTGGGCTGGTTGGCCGGCCCAGGAGCCCCTGTCCTGTGCCTCTGGTGTCCACTCAGGGACTGTGGCGGACACCCCTGAGCCCCCAGGCCTGGCCCATGGTGGCCCAGGGAACAGCCCTCCCTCTGCCAGTGGAAAGTGGGAAGCAGAGGACCATCTCCAGCTGGCCAGGGAGACTGACCTCCTTGTGCCCATCAGCTCTCCAAGGATCCCGCCCACCTGCCAGCTCTCCCTCCTCCCGCTCCCCCTGGCCTGTGCACAGGGGTTTGGGGTCAGCCAGAAAAGTCAGGCAGTTCTCAGTGACTGTGAGAAGGGGAGGCCAAGTCTCCCGGTGACCGGGGCTGGGTCCAGTCCCTGGGAGCTCCACCCTAGTGCTGTGCCCCATCCACGGCTCCAGACTTTGACCTTGTGCTCCGGACCCAGCAGGCAGGCAGAGGGCTGAAGACAAGACACCCCAGAACCAGGAGCCTCCCTGCAGGAAACAGAGCCTGGTGTCTCCAGCAGCGGCCTCATTTCTCCAGAAGCCTGGTGTGCGGGGTGAGTGTCGGGTGCACCCTTGTCTGGGGTAGGGACACAGGGCTCAGTGTCTTCCTGGTGTCCTCAGACAAGGCTCAGCACGAGAGCCTGAGACAGCGGCTGAGGAAAGGGCAGACAAATTGCCCCCAGAGGGAAGGAGCTCTGGCCGCGGAGTCAGGTAGGGTTGCAGGTGAGTTTCTCCCCTCACCAAGCCTCGGTTTCCTTTCAGCAACGTGGAGATCTTATCTCGACTCTTGCAGGATGAATCTGAGTCACAGAAGAAGTGATGAGCAGAAAGCGCTGCACAAGGAGCTGGGCGTCTAGCAAGTACTCAGTCAATGGTCACGCAGGGTGAGGGGGAGAGTAGCCAGGGTGTGGCGCTTTTATGGCCTCTATTCCATTTTAAAGTTAAACTGCCAAGCATGGTGGTGCACTCCTGAAATCCCAGTACTCTAGGAGGCTGAGGCAGGATAATTACAAGCTATACCCCAACCTGGGCAACTTAGTGATTTAGCAAGACCATGTCTCAAAATAAAAAGTAAAAAGAGCTGAGGATGTAGATCAGTGCAAAAGTCCTGGGTTCAATACTCAGTACCATAAAAACAAAAACAAACACAAAAAAACTCTGAAAATAATGCCAGGCTTGGTGGTGCACACCTGTAATCCCAGCACTCGGGAGGCTGAGGCAGGAGGATCGCTGCAAGTTCAAGACCAGCCTGGGCTACAAAGTGAGCTCAAGGCCAGCCTGAACTGCATAGCAAGACTCTGTCTCAAAAAGACCAAAAAAAAAAAAAAAAAAAAAAGCCTGTGAAAATACCAACTCATAAAATGTAGTGATATGGTGCAACTGGAAGAGCTGATTTATGTTCGTCATTCATATGCCTCGCCTATGACTTTGATTTTCTTAGAACAAGTCCTTTGTATTCTTTGCTATGTAGCAGTCAGAGCCATAAACTGCCTCAGATTGCTTTCTAGGGCACAAGAGAGGTTATCAGCAAACAGAGACAAGGCTGAAAGACAAGCAGAAAAGTGTCAAGTGCCAGCTGATTGCAGGCTGTCTTCATTTTCCTATGTTGGGAGGCAGGGAGCTCAGCAGGAACTGGGTCAGATCTGAATGCAGTCCCACACTGGCCAAGTGAACTTGGGTGAGTGACTTTCCTTCCAGAACCTCCGTCCCTGGCTGTAGAATGAGAGTAATAAAGTCTCTGTGTCCTACAGCAGTTAACAGGATTGCAGGGATCATATCTATACTGGATCTTTATGTGTATGGCAAGTGACAGGGACCCAAACATGTTGGTTCCCCTCTTGCTCCGTGCTTATGTTGTTATAATCATGAATATGGATGTGTGTGCATGTGTGCGTGTATGTGTGTGTGTGTGTGTGTGTGTGTGTGTGTACACTATAATAACCCTAGCTGCTTCATATTTTTGTTTTTTGTTTTTTTTTTGGTTTTTTTAGCTTTTTTTGTTTCATATTTTTGGATGGATAGTCCAAGCATGCATGCTTTTGTTTTGTTTTGTTTTTGAGACAGGGTCTCGCTATGCAGTTCAGGCTGGCCTTGAGCTCACTTTGTAGCTCAGGCTGGTCTTGAACTTGCAAAGATCCTCCTGCTTCAGCCTCCCAAGTGCTGGGATTACAGGTGTGCACCACCATGCCCGGCTCAAAGCATGCATGCTTGAAGTATAAAATGGGAGCAATAACATTAATAAAAACATCAGCAACAACAAGGAAATGGTTAGCTTAATTAAAAAAGCTATGTATAGATACGCTTAGAAGTTCATTATCTACACACACGAACGATTTTGCCTGAGGTTGGATCTGTTAGATCTTACAGTCTGGCTCCCGCTTCTCATGAGAATCTCATGCATTTATATTGCATTTTGATGCATGTAGTTGCTAGATCACCATTATCAAATTTTTTCTCTCTCTCTCTTTTTTTTGTTTTTTTTTCTGGTACCGGGAATCAAACTCATGATCTTGCGCTTGCCAGGCAGACTCTGTGCCCCTGAGCTATATCCCCAGCCCCACCATTATCAAATTTGACTCATATAGTATGGGTTTTCTTCCAAAGAGAATTAATTTAGGACTAGTTTTCAAGTCTGTTTCTGCCACCACCTTAAAAGCTCCCACGGACATTGAGTTTTAGGCCTTTGAAAATGCAGCATGCTGAAACATCAGCTGTTTTTTTTTTTTATCTGCTTGGCCCTTGGCTTGTTCTGATTATGTGACTTAGCAGTATAGTAAGGCGTATAGTTACAGTGACACGGGAGTCAGGCTAGCCTGGACTTTTTTTTTTTTTTTTTTT